AAAGCTCCGCAAAGTATCGAATTTTATATGTCAGTGATGAAAATACGATTCCTACTTTTAATGATTAAAAGAAAGGAATACACTCTTCTTAGAGTTCTGATTGCTAATGTATGTTGAAAACATAAAAAATGTATCATGGGCATACATACTTTCCTTGTGAGTATACTATACTTCGTCAACTTGGTATAAAACAGCAGGGATAACAGAATTATCTTGCTTTTACATCGGACTTCGATGCATCTCGTGGCCAAGAGTGGTAAACGAAACGGACAGAAAACTCAGTTATTCCATTCATCCAAATAGAAGGGTAGCTCACTTTAGACGAATAATAAATTCAACCGAGGCACCAATTTCATGCGGTGAAACCATTGAACTCTATACCTGGAACGATAACTGTGAGTATTGGGGGTATCACCGGCCTGTTAGACAGAGAACACTGTGTGAAAAGTGTCCGTATTTTACTCTTACACATATCTATGTATTTTTGTCTGGACGTACAGTTGCATCTGCATATATCTGCCTATACATATACCCAAATTTGCTACATGATACTAAGTAGAGGAAATGAGAGGTACTGAGAGATACCTTCGAAACAACTACGTCCATCGACCCCGGCTTATCTAAGGTTTTCCGTACTCTGTTATCGTTCGGATACATTCTAGAGTTCAATGGGGAAAACTCGGTGGAACGGCATAGGGTTGAATGTTGAATGTCATGCTATCGAGTCTTCTTCGGGTTCTGTGGTTAACGACGCCGTAACGTACGGGGCGAGGAGCTGCACGCCTTTGTACGGCATCGCGAGCACAGAAAAGAAGCGGCAATGGGGTACGCGAGGAAGAAGAAGCCTAGGGGGGCAAGAGGGGGAGGAGGAACGAGACAGAGGCCTGGGTAAGTTATCACTCGAGTCTGGACCAGGAATAGTCGCCATGTGGTGGCAGCCGTGGGACTGACTATTTTCGGGTAAAGACAAATTTGGCGCGATGCGCTACGAGGGAGCAAGCAAGCCTCCTGGTAGTCTCAAGTGTAAGCTTACATGTGCCGGGGGGTGTCGGCTACGACATGGAGAGGCCAATGGGATCGGTGCGGCCATTTTTAGAGGGCTCGTTGAAGCAAGCGTGCTCAAAGCTTTGGTAGCATTCAGTCTGAAGCAGCCAGCCGGTCAAGAGGATTCGCTAGAAGCCCCTGACTCGAGCTAGTCTTCTTCGATCCCTGATCGTTGCATCTCGCGATCGAAATTATCGACCTTTTGAAGGACCTCAGCGGCAGCTTTGAAGGTCCAACATAGTGGACCACCCGGAAAACACGTTGCCCGCAATCGAATAGAATACGAAGTGAATTATCAGGTACCTGGAGAACGGTGAAACGTACCGGTTTTTAAAATGTTTTCTTAAACGCGGACTTCTCTTCTACCGGATCAGTGGATTACGTAATCGTACGTTTGGATCATGAGATAGGTACCATCGGCTATGTGATGGGGTAAGGGTTTAATCTTCGTTGGATAGTGATCAGCCATCGTTGAAGATTCCTTTGTGGAAGAACGTCTTCCTGAGCCGGGCATCTGTTCCGTGCTTCCTTACTTCCCATAGTGAATGTGACGTATGGAATGTAAAGAAGTATGGAGCTGCGCCCAGGTGTATCACCGAGCTGGGAAGAACATTAGAACTCGCTATTTTCCGCAAAATTCATTCGGCGACTAATCAAACAGTTGATCACACGTTCCTTGTGCGTAGGATGCGAAGATTTCGCAACGACTAACGGAATTTTGGAATGTAAGCCGTATTTTGAATGTCTAGAAATAAAATTTTCGTCGATATTTCACGTTCCCACGAAGTCGTCGATGAGAAAAGTGATGTTACGTCGACTATGTTCGTCAGCAGGGAAATGTATTTTTGCGGTTACTGCAATACCAAAGGATTGTATTAATTGGCTATTTGCTGGGACTGGCAGCTACAGGTCAGAAATAGATCCAGTTCCACGTATTCCGTAACGCGGCTGAAACATCTTTCTACGTCCATGTGGCCTCTCGTGTTCTCTATTTACTGGCCTGTCGTGACTACCATGTGGTCGCCAGCTTTATTTAAATCGGCAAAGTATTTCAATGCGTTCCCAGGCCTCGGTTGTCTCTCCCGCCGAGCCTCGACTCATCAACTAGAGATTTTCTTCTTGCAGATGTTACATATGCACTGGTCGGAGTGAGAAAAAGAAAAAGTGTTCTACGATACTTTTTTTGGAAGATTTGCAACGTTTGTAATGGATATCGATTGTCCATAACAGTTACGAGTATCGCCTGAAAAGATCTCGAATTATAAATAAAATGTAAAATTCCATATCCTGAGCGCTGACCTGATTTTAAACGATTATTTAAGGAGTAAGTAAAAAGCATGTTTACGTTATTCTACGCCAGATGTCCTGATCTTGGTACGTAAACATGTTGATATATTTAAGTATGCTCGAGTTTATATAATCTTGAAATCTCGTAGAACAGTGTCCGCTCGTGAATTTATTAAATCCTGGCTAATTTTATTACAGCGTTTAGTCGAAAAAGTGCACTGGCAAAATTAATGGAAGCGGTTTAGTAAAAGCGGTATACGAAAGGGAAAACTGAAAGGAGAGCCTCGTTCGACGACGGAGTCAAAAATAGGACGTCCGTACGGCCACCATCACATTTCCATAAATGAGTTCTCCGGTTACAGAATCTATTTCCGGTCTGAGCCGATAACCAAAGTCATAGTCAATTGTGAAAAAAACATGAATCGGTTAGAATAGAGAAACTTATATATTCAATTGGTGTAAAATGGAATGGTTGTGAGAATTATGATTTCATAAAAAGATTTAAAACGAGTGGTTTATGAGGGTTCGTAATAGAATCAATATTGCTATATTTATGGATTTCTACTTAAAATTGACCTTTTGAAAGACTGATTTGCGTGAATTATAATGTATTATTTAACTTATTCAGTTTTAATTAGAAATATTCTATCTTATCATCAATAATGTTTATAATATCACGTAAAACGTGTATTAAACAAATATTTTTAAAGGTAAGTTGGTAATTGGTAATATTCATACCCTTCTATTTAATGTTTGTATTATCATAACAAAAAATACATTCGAAATATATAATTTGTTACGATAAATGAACAGATATTAATTATTAATGTATGTATTCGTCTGCTGTTTTGTGCAACTAAAACATTGCTTGAACATTTTATGATGTCCTACTTGAAGATATGTGAACTCTAGCGTAATAAGTAGAAAGAATTGCAAACATTGCCAGTACGTTGAAGATATAAACGTGATAATACATTATAAAGAAAATATGTGATCATAAACAAGATATCGACTCTGAAAAAAAATATAATTCTATAATTTTAATATTCATTTAAATTACTTTTCAATATATACAATATATTATGATAAGTGTAAATGATTTGTATTCAATCTTAAAGATATTAATCATACGTGTACATATATTTAATTACATACATGTACATCAAAATATGTAATTAATTTGAGATAGGAGTTTGCGAAAATACATTAGAGATTATTTTAAGAACTTTCTGTTTGAAACATTGTTTAACTTAAAAATGTTCTACTTGTAATTTTCAAACTTATCATACTTTCCAGTATCCCCCCGCGGCTTCGCTCACGTGGAATTAGAGTTTAGAGTATTTCTTAATTGTACAGCCATTGATGATGTAGTGGGTAGCGTAATGATATTGTTTTTATACGTAACATCACGAATAACATATTATTTAATTTTTTGATGTTTATTATCAAAATTTTTTAATATGTAATAGCCTATGTCCATTGGGAAGGTATTAGCTCAGCTAATTACATGTTACCTTCATAAAAATAAACAATCTTTACTACTTTATAATATTAGTAGTCAAAGAGACTACCAATAAACACGCACGAACAATTTATGCTTCGCAATCATTCTTTCTAACATGTACATATGTATATCTCCGCGGTAATTCAGTTCTCTTGTGAGAAAGCGCGCGAGAAGCTTCGCCACCTGATGGTGACATCGCGGTACTACTACACGCGAGGTATCTACCTCGCGGGCCGAGTATGCACATGCGCGTGCGAATTAGGCGTCGTATTCGCGGTCTCGTGATCTTTTGAATAGCTTACACATGAAAAATTTTACATGTAAATTACATGTTAGTAATGCGTTTTTAATATATGCTACATAGTCTATGTTCGTCTTAGAATATTCAATGATAATGTGTTAAAGTTTGAGGAAGATCGGTTCAGTAGTTCTGGAGTTTTGCGCGAATATACATCTCGGCTCTCTCTTTATATAATAGTATAGATTTTTTTATGTAGTTCAAATAAATATCCACAACGTGGCGCATATGACGGAACGATATAATGGTTGCGTTCAGAAGATACAACCGTTGCGCAACTGTTGAGTGATTTCCCTAGATTTGCTACCGCTCACCCAAATAGGGTGTAGCGTTCAGAGTCAAATCTAGTAAAATCACTCAACGGTTCCGCAACGGTTGTGTCTCCTGAACGCAGCCATTGGAAGGGAACCAGAACCAAGGGAAATTGAAGGCAAGAGAGCAGTAATAAAGGCATGTTTCTAACCTCACAATGGAACTTTAACTTTTTGGTGTTTATGAAAGTTATAAGTTATTGAGAAACAGAAGCTATTAAAGATAGCTTAAAGTACATTCTTGATACACTATTAATAAATTTCTATTCATTCTGAATGATGTTGATCCTTACTTTTAAAGATTTTTCATTTGGAGGTTATGATAACCATATCTGAAATTTAAATATGTGTATACATGTATTTATGATATGTGGTGTCAAATATACAAATGGATGTAACATGTTCTAATGCTATTTTGAAAATCTACTATACTTGTTTTAAAACATACAATAAAAAAAGTACTTAGATCTTTTTGGTGAATACTCAACACTAACAACAATAACGTGATTATTGTTCTGTTTCTTTGTTAAGAAGCTACTTTTATATAGTAAAAAATATGTCAAATATATTTAAGGAAAAGAAGCAAAAATTAAATTTGCAAAAGGATTTAGAGGTACTTGATAAATCGGAATTGATAGAGAAAATAGTGATGCTGGAAGAAAGTAACAAACAATTAAAAGCGATAATTAATAGGCTGAATGGAAAATCGAAAGACGGAAATACTGTTCGAAAATCAAAAAAGCCATTTAATTTCGAAAAATGTACTAAGCGACATATTCTTTTAAAATTTTATTACCTGGGATGGGATTATAATGGATTTGTTGTACAAGAAAGTATTAACGATACAATAGAACAGCATTTATTCGCAGCATTGATAAAAAGCTGTTGTATAGAATCACGAGAAATTTCAAATTACCATAGATGCGGCAGAACAGACAAAGGTGTTAGTTCCTTTTCACAAGTTATCTCATTGGATGTAAGAAGTAAATTGAGTCTTTCAGATCAACATAAGTTGAAGGATGAACTTCCATATTGTAAGATGTTGAATAGATTACTACCTTCTAACATAAGATGCATTGAATGGTGTCCAGTACCAAGCACTTTCTCAGCAAGATTTGATTGCAAGTTTCGAATGTACAAGTATTTCTTTCCAAAGGGAAAGTTGAATATAGATGTGATGGATAAAGCAATTAAATATACTATAGGAGAACATGATTTTCGAAATATTTGTAAAATGGATGTAGCAAATGGAGTCACAAACTACAAACGAACAGTTATTGATGCCAATGTTTCTTTACATAAACCAAATTTTAAAGGCATTCCGGCATATGACATATGTGAAATGAATATAACAAGTCATGCATTTTTATGGCATCAAATTCGTTGCTTAATGGGTATTCTATTGCTTGTTGGTCAAGGAAAGGAAGACCCTGAAATTATTTTAGAACTTTTAGATATTGTGAAGTATCCTCAGAAGCCACAATATAATTTGGCGCATGAATTACCATTAAACCTTTGGTATTGTAAATATGAACCTGATGAGTGGTACACTGATAAAGAAGAAATAATAAACACAATAAGGACTCTACAAAAAGACTGGACTGTTAATACAATAAAATCTGTTATGATCGAGAATATGTTGTCTGATTTGGAAAGTTCAATAAATTGTAAAGATTTGTCATTCCAAAGTGATAGTTTACTTTTGGGTGTACAATCTAAAGTATATTAACTAAAATGGTTTATAAAATTTTTTAGAGTAATTAAGTAAATTATATAATACACAAATTTGAAATTGATAAGAAAAAATTGATGTATTTTTGTAATTAAATCTATGCATTAAAGTATGTATGTACCTATGCTTAGCTTGAATTAATTAAAGAATATAATTAACTACATTTATGATTACAGTACATTTTTACCATTATCACGTGTATAGAAATTTCTGTATTTGAAAACTATTGTAATGCAAGTTTAGTACATAATGCAAAAAGGTTTTTATGTGGAAATATTAGCCTTTTTAATGATCAAATTGAAAGGATACTGAAAACGTACGAATTTTTATTGATACTCTTCAAACTATTACTGTAAAAACACAACACATTTTAAAAATTGAAAATTGAAAATTTTCTTACAAATTGATGTTTTCAAAAAACTGGACGTAAAGGGAAAAGCGGTTTCCAGATTCGTATTCAACTCATAAAGGTCTATCATCAACGCCAGTTAGCGGTTACAAGGTTATTATTTATTGGTATGATTCCCCGTGGGTTATATTATATTTTCACAGTACAAATGTAAATAAATTATGTCTGAGAAGCGGAAATGTACAGAAGATTTTGCTTCGCCTAAGATTCCTGTTTTTTTCCCGTTTTCATTTATTTTAATCCCGAGTCGAATATTCCTGACAGATTGGGGACCATTAAAATTCCCGTTTTATGTATCCCAGGAAAGGATCCAATAGAATTCGTCCGTTATTGCGTTTCACTTCGGTCACAAAGAAACAGTACGACGGCGTACTTACTATTTTTGCAATTTGTCGCGCGAAATTACGTGTCAGCGAGGCGTTCGTCGCACGGAGAATATAAAGAATTTCCTTAGGACTCCGACAACTACGACTGGAATATCCACCGGGAGAGCTAATCAAATTTATCAATTCGTTGTTCGAAGCGTGGATTGGGCTCTTCACAGCGCTTCGATTTGCGAGAGGAACGGAGACCGAGGTGTGGAGAGGTTGATGGAAGAAGGGAGGAGATAAAACTGCGCTAAACACTCGATTTATGGGGTTGAGACAGCGGTACAGGTATGAACGTTTACCCTAATAAATAACTGACAGTCTAGGGCCTAGGGAGCTGAAACGACGGGAGTGGGTGGACTGCGAGTGGATGTGATTCCAGCTATGCGTGGAAACCTCGGTGCTATTCATGATGCAGCCACCGCCGGATTTGCATTGCCATCATTGTCGCGATTTGAATCGGTTGTACGCTCGCTCACTCCCGCATACGCGGACCTGTCGCGGTGTGCTTCTATTGTTACAAACAATTCTGTGGTCCCTCGAGATTAAGGGTTGTTGCGAAAGAAAAGGAAGTGGCGTTACGCGCAGAGCCAAGAACGTGTACTGTGGATAAAATAAATACGCTTTGGTCCGAAAGTTCTCAAAATGAAATTAGAATAGATGTTTTCACCACAGTAGTTATCTAAACACTGGAAATAGCTCTGATACTCTTTGTCTATGAAATTTAGAAAATTATATTTGACTGACTTTTATCTTTCTATGCAATTCGGAGAAAATAAAGTAGACAGTGAGAACCAAATCAGGCAAATACGGTGGGTAGTGAACTAGTGTGACACCTTGTATAACCAAAAAGTTACGCACGTTTGTGTTTCATGATTTATGAGGCAAAAGATTTTGACCATCGTACTTTCGATTTTACTGCGGGAGTACCAGATATGTTTCTAGAATTTTTATAATCAATTTATACACTATATTTCTTCTGAAGGGTACAATTTGGTGTTTCATTTCATTAAATTCACTTCTTAATAATAGTGAATAATGTTGTTAAATAACACTACTTTAGAATCAACCTTTCGGTATTATGTATATTCTTCGTGTATACAGGAAAGAGTATTCAGAAAAATTAATTTGTTCATTCTCGTTGCTTGGCTAATAAATTCCACTGTAAGTAATAACTCAATTATCGAGTCATGACTTTAAACGGTTACCGTTCCATCGCTATCGCGTGCGTCGAATTCCGCAGGCTAAATGTGCGTGCCATTCGATTTCGCAGACAATTCATGGAAGCGAAAGGGATAGAAATGGGGCGACCAGGTGAACACGGGGGGACAACGGTGTGGCATTAAATTTGTCGACGGTAAAATAGGTTTGCGCACAGTGCTGGTAATGCTCTTGATTAAATCGAATGAGTTACGCTGATATTATTCCCCGTAAAATAATAATGTTAGTCCCCGTATTATTGGCTGATGGTTGCATTTGCATTCGCCAGTACCTCTAATTGACAGAACTGCCGTGTTTTGTCTTCCTGAACGTGTTGCAATGGCCGTGGATTACGTTACTGTTTTTAAGTGTGAATGATGCTTGGAATAGTTGATTCCCCGTTAGTAACCCGGTAAGTTTGACACTGTGTCAACTTCCCTACTCTTTTTAGCTACTTTTGATCAAGTTTTTGTGTGGATTTGTATTTTGCTTGTTCTCAATGTATTTGTTCGTTTTCCTTTCTGTTGTATGTTCACGTTAGATGGAACCCGATCTGATAATTATAAAGCCTAATATTCGTTATAATACATTTTGTTATTTTGTAATTGTTACTAGTTCAGAATATACAAAATTCTGTTCATATGTTATTTTTGTGTTAGACCTTCGCGAGATGCTTAAGAAATCATTGTGCAAACTGTGGGTGTCATTATGTTATATTATATGATTATTATTTAACGTAGAAAGCAAAAAACATAGAGGAGAACGCTTTGTATGAAATCTACTGTACAAACTGGATCATTTTCGGCTCGGTAAATACATTGGTGTGTGCGAACCGGTAGTCAAAGCCACCGGAGGGGGCTGTTGGGCGTGAAACGCCAAGAGAAGCTACAGGGGTCAAATGACAGGCGAGCGCATCTATTGGCTACTCAGTACGATCGTCACGTACCTCGCGACAATTTATGACGATTGGAATAGCGGCCAGTTCAGCCATTACACGCTCGTGCAACGGTATCGGACTACTAAAGTCCAGAACGAGACACCTTGCCAAACTAGTTCAATTAGTGGACCGGCGTGGAAAAAGATTCACCGTCGTATCAGTCTCTAACGAACTTCCTGATAGGAATAATCCACGAGTTTCCTCCACCCCCCTTTTTCCGTAGTGCTCGATTTCCGATTCAATAATATCACGCTATTTCTTCTGTTTTTTATCTCAATTGAGTTTTTTAACGGATTTCAACATTTTCGTTACTACTTGTCGTGTATGTATATGTAGATTATATGAATATATTCTACTCATTTATGTTAAACGATATATGTAAACATTAGCAAACATTTTTCCCTTCCCCAGATTTTTCCTCCTTCGTCAAGTTAAGTCACAATCAGTTCATGGATACGGGCATTGTTGCCTCTACTCTATTATACGATCTAAGAATAAGTTATGCCTAGACCTATAGCATACCTAACTATACAAAATTCAACGACGCTACAACATGAAAATGTACTGGCTGCTTTTCCGCCGAAAATCTTTATTAATATTGAATAATTTCTACAGTACCAGTTACTTAAAATAGATCACAGGTTTTACAACTTTCTCTCTATAAATTTTTGTCAGTTTTCTACCAAAAGTTCAATTACCTATCGATAAAATGAATTGAAGTCGCAATATGAAATTAAATATGACGGTCGTTACTTTTGAATATATTTAACAATTTTGAATGCATCTTGACAAAATAAGTGTATTTAGAAATATATAAATTCCACTAAAACTGAATGTTTTATTTTTTCTATAACAGATTATAATACAATAATAATATGTAAGTTGCAACACGTTAATACTAGCATAATGATAAAAGTAGCACGATCAGTAGTAGGCATGGATCGCAAAATAACAGGACGATCGTGATGTATCACTTTTTGTAAAAGAGTTAGCCGTGCTTGCTAACTCTGATGAAGTGTTGCCAGGTGCGATGTAAACACTGCTCTGATATTAGGGAACCGAATGAGTTGGAAATTTGATTTCAACTTACTGTCTCGCGCTTAGATTCATTGTGATTGAGTGGTGAATTGACTTCGAAGAAATAATTGAGAACAGAAATGACACGCGCTACCATTTATCATCGTGACGCAGGAAGTTTTTATTTTATACTCTTTTTTTATGTTCGTCAGTGTAATGTTTCCTTTCTTAAATATTTTATGTTAAATATGTCAAGTTTTCATTGATGATAGTAATGATAGTATTATGAGATAGTATACAAATTAGTAAATAACAGACACTGGACCGATGTATGTATACTTTGTTTTGGATTCAATTGGTATTTCACTCGCAAGTAATTAATACGATATTAAGGTTTAATAATAAAAGTACGATTAAGGTCTTCGCTACGCCATAGAAAATATGAAGATACATAAAAAAATGAAAACAGCACGGAAACAAGAGAGAAAGGAATAATTAAAAAATACAGAACTAAAAAAAATACAAATAGTAAGGAGTACAATAGTAAAGGAGGAGTTAAGCCTACTTAACTGTATTTCAGTTTAACCGAATTGTAAAACTAACAATTTACGGAACTAATTCTTCAATGTTTATAGCTAAAGAATAGTAAATAACTGTGTCTTTCTTTTTTAAAGAATATGTTCCATTGTAATGATTTCAATTTTCTGTGTAAATAATTTTTTTTTTAAATCTTTTCGGAAAACGTAAGAAAAGATATCATAGAAATGTATATGTAACTATAGCCATGTTAATAATACATAAATAATACATTTTTCTATTACATTCTATTATATTATCGCATAAAATATAATAATTGAAGATTAAAGACGAAGACGAGTAATTAATTTCGAACGCAATTTTATCCAACACTTTGGCTAATTTCGTTTCACTTCTGGTGCGATTTCCTGTCTATCACCCAGTTATTTATATGTTTTGATTATAAGCCTTGTAAAATATTGTAACTTTTTTTACAATTGACGAGGATTATGTATAATAGAATATAACTACGGGAGAAAACGGCGACGCG